CCTCTACTACCTGTGCATCTTTGTTACCTTTGCCTATCTACTCCTCTCTGCCATATTTCTGTTTAATTGTTTTCAGTGGTTAAGATGACAAAGTTTGAAGGTCTCTTTTGTTTCCATTTAGTATTTTTATTTGTTGATACTTGTTTCCTGGATTCTTTATATTTGACAAGGAAGAAATGTGAGAATCGATTATTCAAATAATAGTAATATGAAATCTTGGCTGGTAAAATTTGCAGCTGACAGAGCATGGTAGGAAATAAGGAGAAAGACAGGTTGCTACGATAGCATAATTTTTATCTCCTGATTAAATGATCACATTCCAACAAAATGTGTTTTAATACAGCCAAATGCAAGGAATCAAGAATATGGCTTATACCTGCAGGATGGGAGACACTCTCTTAGAAATCTGTAACTCAAGAAAAGACTAAGGATTATTACAGATAATCATCTGAACAACAGCTATTGGCAAAATGAACTAATGCGATCCTTTGATGTATAAGACACAAAATATCCAGTAGAAGTAGAAAAGTGATGATGCCTTTCTGCAGCATGGATAAGGTTGGAATATATAATGTCCATACCCAGTGTCCAAATTTCAGGCAAATTGAGAAGATAACTCTGATAGTTCAAGGGAGGTACACGAAAATGATTCAGAGACTGGAAAGCAAGCCTTGGGATCCAATTTATTCAGGTTATCAACGAGAAGGAAGACTTGATTACTCTGTGCATGTACTTACATATGGAAGAGCTATCTGAAAGTGTAGAGCTCTCAGCTTTAATGAGAGAGGTATAATGAGAGTCATCTTGAAATAAGAAACAATTCTGTAACTGAGTGTAACTACATGGTGACTTAGTGGAGGAGCTAGTGGACACACCATTCTTTCAAAAAGATATGCCTGTATCTAGCTTCTTGGAGAAATTCTATGAATGAGCATAATTGCTATTGGAATATGAGGTTCTGAATATCTGTGCTCATTCCCTTTTTTTTGAAGGGAAGAATAGGATTCTGTGCATTGCCCTCGCTGTAGTCATAATACTTGAAGCTCTGCATTAAGAAATGACTGTAATCAATCTCAAACTTTGGAACTTCAGCCAGTCATCTGCAGGGATCAAGTGCAGAGAAAGAATCTTCCTCTGCAGAATCAGAAATTGACTGCAGTTGGAGATGGATGGGGCAAATGTTCTGAAATGGTATAAAGTGACTTTGGTTTTAGGTACCTGGCTAGCATCTTTTATTTAAATGCCCAGGTTCAAGTGATTACCAGAACTGGTATTTTCTTCCAGATAAGACTGTTGTGAATCTTGAGGGGTTTCACCATCTTTCACCATTTTTCACCAAATAAATTTCTTAACGTGGCATAAAAAGCCATGTCAAAGCCTCTGATATTGGAGGTACAGGCAACCCCCACTTAATGCTCTTAATTGGTTCCTGAAAAATTAAGCATTAAGTGAAACAAAGCATTAAGCGAAACCAACTTTCACTTTCTAAAGCCACCAAAATCACCAGAATCAGGGCTGCCAGAATTAGTGTTAATTTCAGTGCCAGCTGTACAATGCCCATGAGCGTTATAATGAAACTCGCAGAGTGCTAAGTGGAATTGGGTATCAATGTAAAATGAGCGCTATAGCGATATAGCACTGAGCGAAACAATATTAAGCAGGGGTCACCTGTACTTTGGTCTTTCTTGTTCTCTGTTCAAGGCATATACCTTAGGCTCCTGAGGACACTGGAAAGCTGTTCTGGAAAGTTAAGTGCCTTTTTTATGCAGAGCTCAGTGAGTGAATCTACACAAGATGCCTTACTGTGCATTAGATGGGTGGTAATCTCCATGAGGCAGAGGCAGTACCTGGCAGCTCTCCCTGCTCTGTGGAGATTAGCACCAGCCACAGTGCTCCCCTGCCAGCCTGGGGCTGGCACCTGGGGGAGTCTAGAGCTCCTCCTGGCTGTTGCAGGGGGGCAGAGCAGGGCAGGAGCAGCCCTAGACTAAACTGCTCCCATCAGGAGAAAATTTGCTCCCAGCAGATGCACATTTAGTGGGAGCACAATTTAATGTGCCTTAATTTTCTGTGCAGAAAATTCAGGTGCATTAATTGCACATGTAGATTCACCCAGTTTTGTGCCCTCTACCTTTACACAGTGTAAAAACATAAAGCACTAAATTCCTATTTTAGGGGTCTCTACCAGTAAAGAATGATTTAATAATTTGCATCTCAGAAAATATGTAATATTTACAATAACATCTTTCTTATATAGCACTTTCTAACCACTGTGTAATCTGCAAAGATTTTAGTAAGGCAGTACAAAAATCATGGGACTGGACTTGTTCTAATGCCACAAAGTGTACTGAGTTGCAATCTAATTTCTCATTCAATGTACATATTTTAGATCCCCAAATGTTTATTATAGTCTTCATTTTTGTTTGACTGATACTTCAGTTGACTATCTTTCTTCCTCGTTTCTCAGTCTCCTCCACAGAAACTGTGAGTAACTCTATTGATATCAACTAATATCAATGGAGTTCAAGAAGTATAAATCCTGAGTTAAAAGAGGAGAGTTAGGCCTGAAGAGTTCTGTTACCAAATATTAGGTGCATCTACATGGGCATTAATATGACTTTTCTAATGTGCATTAAAATTAGTACCTCCAGTGTCAGGGTGCCTATATATAAGCAGGGATGCTGCTCTGATGCACTGTAATTCCAGCACTTTGGAGCAGACTCAATTAATCGGGTCTGCTGGAGCATGACAATTACTGCTGTCCAGCAGCCTCCCGCATCTTGTGTATCAGTGTTCCCATGCTTCAAAATGGTGGCAGAGGTGCTTTATCTAAAGCTCATTTGATGAGCTTTAGATAAAGCACCTCTGCTGCCATTTTGAAGCATGGGAATGGTGATACATGAGCTGCTCTGGAGGCTTTATTTACAGCAATTCTTGTAGCTACTCTAATTAAAGTGAACCTCACCCCCACTCCCAGAGCATGTGTAGAAATGAATGTGCATTTGCACCCTTTTTAGTGACACTTAATGTACAGTAGACTGTTTTACTGCGTATTAGCATAATGTCATGTTTTTTTCTGTGATGCTTTAAGCCACAGTAACAAGTCTACTGTGCATTAAAGTGCATTAAATGTGCACCCACTGGGTGCATCCAGTCAAGCACACAAGTGTCTCTTGCAGCATCCCAAACCAGTTTGAGACACTGCAAGATGCATGCTGTGTATGAAAAAATGTTCCCTGCACTGCATATTTGCAGTGAGGTCTCAAAATTTGACACCTGGAAATCCAAATATAAAAAAAACCACAGGGGAAAAAAGCAGGCAGGGCATGGTCCTGAATCATGCCCTAAGGTAACCTGGAGGTCGGTCCTCTGGAGAGATGGTCTAGTTTCTGGCCAGGGCATCTCTATAGGCTTCTGCTGCCCCAACACACAGGGCATGCACCCTTACCATGCTGGAGTAAGTAGAGGTGGGGCAAGGATCTGGTTCGAATAGGATCCAGGCATTGTCATGGGTAAGTAGGTACTGGGGGGAATTGTGCATTGGGGAGGCTGTGCATGTGTGGAGGAATTGTGGGGGGGGCATTCTGTGGGGG